CGACTGCTCCTTTCATTTAATTTTGCAATACCACTCCTTTGTATCTTCTAGCTGCATCCTCCACTATGTCCGATCACTCAGTGTCGCAGGGCCTCGTTGTAATATATCACGGGATAATATCAGTTTTGCTCGCTACCGCGTCCAAAACATGCACGTTGTCGACATCGCCAATACCAGAGCTCAGCTTGCATCCAAGGGCCTCCAAGTCCATCTCTATCAGCAGAGCCGGCCACAGCCTTTGTTGAGCATGAGCTCCTCTCCGGACCAAGACCCTTCCACCGAAGAAACCTCGCTTCATCAAGCCGTCGAAGGCACCACGATCGCTCGAACCACAATACTCGCGACTACGCCCGCCCTTCATGGCGTCAATTTAGCGTCCACTATGGTGCTCGAGGTGCTCGTAGCCAATCTAACCGGCTCTCTTGTGCAGACTGTTCTCGAACGCGAAGGTCTTCGGTAGACCAAGTGTCCGACACTGTCCTCGCACGTAAGTACGCGCCAAACTCACGTTTCTCCGGGCTAGAACGCTAAGGAGCAGAGCCCGCTCGACTGTTTAGGAGTCGCTTGTTCTCGCCTCCGAAACCGCCCAGGCTGAGCTGAGTCGTCTGCGGAGTAGCGGGACTTAGGATGGTGCCTGAGGGTGGTGAGCAAGAGTTCACAGAGGAGAATCTAAAGCTCCGTGCGGCGCGAGGTGCTGTCCCGGAAGAGCGGAAAAAGGCACGCTGGATCCATAACGAGGAGCTTCGTTGACAATAAATTGTTAGATGATAGCGGGTGCAATAGGCGGACGATGGGGTGACGTACAAGCGACAAGCTCTTGGTGCACGCTGGAGTTCTCGAGACTGGGCACGAGAAGACGGTCGCATTCGATGAGACGCAGCGCAACCTCCAAGCTGCAATCCAGGACACATCAGATGTCGCGCAGAAATGCGCGATATGGGACACGGTCATTGAGCGGTTCGCTGCGGAGATCGTTAGTGCCGAACGTGGTGTCGACTCCCTCGGATTGAGGTAGCGGAGCTGCGGGCGCGTGAAGGCCGAAGCTGTATGCGCTTGCAGAATGGAGTGAGTCGCTAGAGCAATGAGTTGCATCGGAGGGGACGTCTTGCCGACTGAAGTGAAGGTCCGGGCGAAACTATCAGTGCCGGAGGCTGAATGATTGTCGTAGTATATATTATTGATACGAGATGTGCAGTGTCGGCGTAGCATCCTAGAAGTCCCCGCGGTCTCACCACGCTGACATCTTCAGCGTTTGTTACAGTGTCGACCACTGACGGCGATGTATCCCATCAGTGATAGCGCAAACTAGGAACGTAGAATGGTTCATGAAATTAATGCTTGTGCTCATGCGATAATAGTCCGCATCGAGCGATACGCACAGTAGTTGTAGTATTAAGGTGGCTCTTTCTAGCTGTGATCTTGAATATATCAGCATGTGTGAGTAGTCACTGGCCAGCATACTCATCCATCTCAACCAGAAATTAACCCCGTGGTTACCTGCACTCAGAGTACAGCAAGCCGCTGTAATTTAGTAGATGGACTAGACGAGCTTCAAATTTATCTCCATATAGCGTCAGGACGTCGAAGGGCGTTCATTACTGACGCACATTCTGTACAATTACAGGAAGAGAACAGTAAGCTTGCTTCACGGGGCTAATTAATTAATATTTTCAGCTGGAAGGGGCACGAAAATCGTTATGAGAATAGAAGCCAAAAAGACCGAACACTTCCTGGTAAAAACATACGATAGGTAAAACCTGGAAATAGGAGCCAAACAAAGACACCTTTTTTGGTGAATCTTGTTGCAAAAAGCTGTTCTGCTTGCAGCAAAAAGAGGTACAAATACTGCTGGGCTATCCATATATAGAATAATCAATATATTTTCTATTGAGATAGGTACAAAAAAGTATACATCTACTATCTATTTGCTCAAATAGGAGAGCTGACTTTTGTCGCAAGGGAACTGTAATACAAACAAGAGGCTGCTTCGCTGCGCTCCGCGACTGCTGTCCTCGTGGATGTGGTTCTGCAGGCGGGAAATTTAAGCTCAAAATTTTCGATTTCGCTTGCTGTTTCGATTTCAGGGCTGCAGCATAGCCGCGCTGCGCGCGGCGTAAGCAAAGGAGAGCGGAAGCAACGATTGGGCCCAATCAAGGAGAATGACGAAATAGGGGCCGTCGAAAGGTATATAAGGCGAGGGATGGAAGAGGGGGGCCCCTGGAGCGAGTAAGACAGGGATAAGAAAATGGTTTCTTACTTTGAGGGCATCTGCGTAATAGTATAGTATATACATCAACTATTTTTTGGCGTCGCTGTGTGTGCCCGCTGACACGTTCACTGGTCGCCCACTAGTCGCCCACTGATCTAACTGCCGGTCGCCTGAACAGCGCCCGCGAACGCGAGCGGGTCGGGCAATGCAAGCGGACAGCCCGCGTGGGGGGAGACCCGCTCGGGGTCGATCTCGCTCACGTCCCACACCTCGGGCGCCGACGGCAGCGGTGCCATGAGGCTGCTCGGCGCGAAGCTGTCGCGGTTCGCGAACGCCGCCGTGCGCGGCGCGTGGCGGCCCGTCGTGTGCGCGACCAGGGGAGGCATGATCGGCCCCGGCGTCGACGTCGGGTCCCTCGACGCGCACCTCGACGCTGCGCACACTCCCCGTCTTGCGGCGGTCCGCGTGGATCTCGGCGCCGAGCCACGCGTCCTTGCCGTCGCCGCCGCCGTCGTCCCACAAGTGCACGTTTGCGTCAGTGGTGCGGAGCTCGTCGTCGTCCTCGCTGGACGCGGCGTCGCGCGGCGCGGCGGCGGCGACGCTCGCGATGAGCTCCGCGCCGAGGCTGTACCCGCAGAGCACGCGGTACGTGCACACGAGCGCCGTGGCGTCACAGTGCGCGCGCAGCGTGAGCAGCCTGCCGTCGAGCAGCGGGTGGTGCCGCGCGGCAGATAAAAGGTCGGCGAGGTAGATGTTGAGGGAGAGGTGGATGAAGGTGTACGCTTCGGCGCAGTCGGGCGAGGAGGAGGACGGACTGGGGAGCGCGGGTGGAAGAGGCTTCGTGAGCGCACGGAGCCGTTGCAGGTCTTCGGAGGTGATGATGTGGTTTGCGGAGGGTGTCAGTTGGAGACGAGAGGCAGGGACCGCAAGCGGGGGGATGGAGACGACGGAGACGCATTGTGCGGGAATAAGGAAGATATCTGCATGCGGGGAGATATTGAATTGAACGAGGCCGAGAGCGGCGTGTTGGTAGAGGAACGGTAAGTCGTGCAGGCTTGGTGAACAGCAGGCGAGACGATGACGGCGTGTGCGGCCGCATCCGGAGCATCGACGCCGCGCTGGCGGGCACGCGCCGCAACGACGCGACGCTCGTCACGTCCGTGCGAGTCTGTGGTGCTCTCGCGCGAGTGCACCGGCGTCGGGAGCGGAGACGACACGATTAATTGTTCGTGAGGTGAATAGTTTCTTGTTTAAGTGGTCATGCATTGTAAGCGGTGATTTACTGGTAAGTGACCACCATTGTTTTGGCGATGAGTGGGTAATGTGTGGGTAATATGTGGGCAATGTGTGGGTGATGTGCGGGCGATTTCCTAGCAAGTGGCCATCAATGCGCGGGGCGATGGGTGGGCGCACTGCAGACGACGAGAGGGGGGTAATAGGCCATGAGTAGGCGATCAATCTTATGTCTGAAAACAATGCCAGTTTTTTCCATACAAGTTTCCCTGATAAAAGTCCAGCTTTTCTACCTCATATTTGGTGGAGACAGGAACCACAAAATAAGTTTGCTCTTTTTGTCTCACCTGGAGGGAACCTTTTTGGGGAGAATGTGGAGAAAGAAATGATGATGATTTCGCCCTGAGAATATTTCGACTCTCCTAATACCTAGGTGTAAAAGCAGTGTATCTTTTCGTACCATTAAAACAATAACATCCCCATAGGGAAACAGCTTAAGTGTATTTACGGAACAAACTGAATGTGTTTTTGTACCTCTATCCGCGCAAAATAGTATAAAATTAGCCCCGTGGCTTGATTCCCGTTAATAGTATCAGATAGATTGGGAATACATTGAGAATTTTTGATGAACTTATGCTCCGATATGCACGAAATTGACCCATCTCTCCAGATTAGCTCTGCTTTGCCGCATCTCCTTCGTAGCTGAGCACAATGCCCTCGCAGCCCTCCTGAATCCGACCTCTGATCCTTGGGGCATATCCTTGTTGCGTCGCTCTGCAAACATCGCGTCGTAAAAAGCTTTGGCAAACGTCGGCCCATCCTCATCCTGCAGCTGCCACATCGTCCCCACCACGCTCTTGAAGCCCGAAAACTGCATCGCGGCCGCCAGATGAAGTGCCTCGTCCGTCGCACTGTTCGGTGTCCATTCAGCAGTATGGCAGGCCGACAACACTGCTAGTTCGGCATTTTCACGGTGGAGGTCGGCTTTGATGATGTCGAGAAGAGTGATCCGCTCGCCTCCAGAAAGGATGAACGCTGAGTTGAGAGGCTCGCCAGATCTAAGCGTCCCGTGGCAGGAGAAATGTACCCATGGCCGCTCCGCAAGACCTGCAGTCACCGCTTCACGGTTGCAATGACTCTCAATGGCGAGCGTTAAGTCACTATCCGCGAAGTGTGTGCGGAGGACCTCCACTTCTTTGCCCACCGCTTTTAGCGCCTTGTCGAGCAGGACGACACCAAGAAGGCCTTCGTGCTCTATTCGACGACCACTGCCAGCTGCTCTGGATTCGATTAGCGCAGTAAGCGTCGGAGTGTAGGACGGGATATACAGATCCGGAAGGTATATTTTGCCTTTGGAGGATCTCGGCTCTGGCATCGCGATCGGGCCCGCTGCATGCAGCGGCAGTATAGACACCGCAGAGGTAGGACACCACCAAATCCGCGACCCTTCCTTGACTCCGAGCTCCTTCAATCTCTCCACGACTGGGCCAACAACGAGATCCGCGAGCTCTTCTAGCGTCCGGCGCAGAACTCGATCGTATCTCTTCGGCGCAGTGTCCAGGGCCCTGCGGGCATTCAGTAGGTTGTTTACCAATTCGACCGCCTGCTCGGAAAAGGTATCGATCAACTCGACACAGCTGAGTTTCTCGCCGGGACCAAGGATTAAAGCATCCGAGCGGAATCTGCTTTTGTTAACGATGATAACCGGGCCCTCTACCGAAGCTGCCCTAAGTCTGTCGTAGGAGGGTGGCTTGAGAAAGTCTGGGATCTTTGCGCGGATCTGGTCGATGACCTCTTCTAGTTCGGCAGACAGGCAGCGTTTCGTCTCGAGCATATGCCCATACGAATCGGAGCGTTTACCAACAGCTGAGACGGATATGAGTGGACTTGCGGCAATACTGACTGCCTCCAGTGCGCGACTCTTCTCCAGGAAAGTATCTCGAAGAGGCCTCAATCTCTCGTCAGCAGATAGCTGGTCGAGGGGTGTGCGCAGGCGGCGGACTTGAGACCAGAGTAAAGCTCTGCCTTGCTCTAGTATCTCCACAGCGAGTTCGAGATTTCCCTGGTTTATCGCATACGCCGCGGCGTCCAAAGGTAAAGATTGCTCGTCTCGAACTACCTCGTGTTGCATTTCCAGCGTTGGAGCGATTGCGAGATCCCGCTGCAACAATTCAAGGCTCCTGCGGTAGGCCTCCAGTGCTGAAGGATGGCTATTCTCATGGGCCAGATGTGCCCACAATATTGCGCTGTCTAGCTGCGTCAGACGGTAGACAGTCGATTCAAGGAGCGCGCTGGTTGCGGGTGTAAGTACTGCTTTTCTGTCATTCCAAATAAGAAACGCACCCTTCTTTGGCGTAGAGGATAGCATTGGAGATATCTTCTTTATTTCCCGTCTTGCTATACCTCGCACTTGAAGACGCTGCGAGATTGAACAATAAATTGAAATGTTCCGGATCACTTGGTTCTAGAGGACAGAGCGACAGCATCCTGCGTCCTCGATCAATACACTCATCAAGGTCCTCCACAGTTTGTAACGCTCTGTATCGCCCGATTAAAGCCCTGCCCAGGCTGTTGACCAGATGCAAGGAGCTGGAAGACTGATCTGCGCTTGAAAGGGACAGAGCCTCCCGGAGGTAATCGATAGCTTTCTGCATATCCTCAGACTTCTTAGTCTGTTCGTATTGGCATTGGTGGTACTGGGAAAATCGGACGAGAACTTCGCTCCGGTCAGGGTGTCCAGGTGGACAGAGATGTAGCGCCTCCTCTATGTACCGCGTGCATTCTTTGAGGTCTTCGGCGCGAGCCTCAGCTTGAGCATCCCAGTGGCTCTCGTTCGCTCGAATGCAAAGAGCCTCCGTCAATGCCTTCAACAAGCCTACACGATAAGGGAACTTGTGATCTTGGTCCGCGGATATCGCCTCGCGGAGAAAGAGGATGCAGCAGTTCAGGTCCTCCAACTGTTTCATCAAGTTAAATCGTTCGCCCAAGGATGATGATAAGATAAATAAAAAGGCCTCGCGGCCCGAATGTCCTGGCGGGCACAGAGACAGGGCTTCATAGCCGTACTTGATGCTGTCTCTGAGGTCGTCGGGCTGATGTGTCAATCGGAAGTGAAGATGCAAAGCGCCCGCCAGAGCCGTTATAGTGGAATGACGACTGAACAATCCCGCCGAATCGGAATTCGTTTCGAGATCTTCGCGCAAGTAGATAATCGCATTTTCTAAGTCGCCCAAATCGTCATTGACCCCGTATCGTTTGTTGAGAGAGTGTGCCAAACTATTTATGACGCGAGATCGATCGGGATGACCTATAGGACAAAGCGCAAGCGCTTTGTAATTGAGGTCAATGCTCCTGTTGAGGTCGTCGTGCCGTCCTGTCGCCGAGAAACGTTGAGCAAGAGCCGATGCCAGTGCAGACATCGTATTCACGGATGTCACGAAGCCGGAAGGCGGGAGTGATGCTTCCCGCAATAACGAAGCAAGGGCCATCTCTAGATAGCTAATGCACTGCTCCAGGTCCTCCGGGTCCCCGTCGATCAGATGGCGAGTTCTTAGTGTATGCGCCAAGTCTACCAATGCTTCGTCGTGATCGGGATGTCCTAGAGGGCACAAGGACAAGTATCTCTGTCCGTATTCGAGGCTCTTCTGTATATCCTCGATATTCCTTGTGATTTTCGCATAGCGTTCGCGCAAATTGGATACTAGTCCAAACAACAGGGAGGTATGAAGTGATGGAACCGAAATGCCATGGGATAGAGCTTCTTCGAAGGACTCGACAGACTTCTCCAAGTCGGCTTGGACCCCGGTCATCTCAAAGCGCTGCCGTAACGACGCACCAAGTTCACTTAACATCAATACACCCACAGGATGCGGGGCAGGATAAAGCGAGAGGGCCTGGCGAAAGTATCCAAGAGATCTGTCCACATCATTCACCTGCTTCGTGTGAATGGATCGTTCGCGAAAAGCAATTGCCACGTTCCGAATGAGCGCAGGGTGAATAGGAGAGGTGGAGGGACAGTGGGCAACTGCATCCTGAAGGTAGGAGATAGACTTGTTTAGAACCTCTAGATCCCCTGTTTGTTCAAAAATACGCTTGAGAGACTCCCAAAGATGCTCGAGTATTGTGTGTTGTCGATGAGGGTGTGCGTATGAACAGAGTAACAGGGCGGCATGGATAGACTCTATGCACTGGGCAAGAGCGCCTGATTCCCCGCTTCTGCGGAACCAGGTCTCTAGCGCTTCTGCCGAGTTAAAGAGCAGATTAGGGAAAGCAACCGCAAATGGCGAACATAAGGAAAGGGCCTCCTGCGTGAACGTGAAGAAGGTCTCAAAATGCTCCCGGTTGTTGCTTTCCTGATATTGCAGAAAAGAAGATAAAGCAAGGATACCCAGTAAGGAAGGGCGATGAAGGTTCCGAGGGGAGGAAGCATCCAGTACGTTCCGCACCAAGTCAATGCTTGGATACGGCACGCCCTGTCTGCCGGTCAGGACTACATCGAGGAATAGCGTCGGCCCGACGAACAAGTCCAAAGACGTCAATGATTCCGCTGTGAAAGACGCATGACATTCCCGGATGTACTCCATCGACAAGTTGAAATCTTCGTCCTCTCCAGCATATCCGAAGCGCTGACCGAATGAGGAGGCCAGGCTGTTGAGTACCATTGCACGGCTTGGCGCGTGCGGATCACAGGCGGACAGTGCTTCTTTCCCCAGGATTATGCTTTCCTCCAGGTCCTCGGGAGCTCCGTAAGTCATGAAGCGGTAGCGTAAAGCGTCTGCTAGCCTGCCGAGAGCTACAGCGCGGATGGTGGCCCTGGACTTGACAGGTAGTTCGATGGCTTGACGGAGAGAAGCAACACTATCCTCCATGTCCTCCCGTCTGCTGGCAAACACGAAGCGTGTCCATTTCGCAACGGCGAGGTTTACCAGCGAGTGTGGACGGTCGGGGCGACCCTGCGGGGAAAGTGCGAGCGCTTTATTTCCGTACTCAATGCTTTTCTCTAGGTCCTCTTGCCGTCCTTCGTGAGTAAAGCTGATGATAAGAGCAGAAACAAGGGTGTCAAGGAGTACAAGGCGAATGGGCATTGAGGGGGAGCAGTGGGAAAGGGCCTTATGGGAGAGCGAGACCGATTGCGCCATGTCATCCAGCCTTCCGGTACACTTGGAACGAGCGAGAAGCCCGGCAGCCACCGTCCCCAGAGCTCGAGGACAATCGGGATGTCCCGCAGAGCAGAGCGAAGCGGCTTCCTGTGCGTGTCCGATCGCTTCCTCCAAATCACCGGATTCGCCTAAATGCTCATATCGAGAGAGCAGCGATTGTGAGAGCACATCCAGCAGCATGGGTCGGGCTGGCGATTCCGGCGAGCAGCATGAGACGGCTGCACGAGCATACTCTATGCATTGATCCAACTGGGTAGAGAGGCTTGTCTGCTTGAAGCTGCTGAGCAAGGGTGCGGCAAGAGTCGCAAGAAGGGTGGGTCGATCCCGGCTGTGACGTGAGGGATCGAATAGTGAGAGGGCCTCGCGGCCACTATCGATAGAGTCGGTTAAATCCTTGGGATCTCCGATGTGGCAGAAATGGACGTGTAGTGCTCTGGCGAGCGACAATACGGAAATATAGCGGCCCGTATGGCCAGGGGGATGGAAGAGGAGCACCTTGCGGTGGAGGGATAATGCCTCTTGCACGTCTGCCGGCCGGCCAATAAGCTCGAATCGACAGAGGAGCAGCTCGGCAAGGGAGTACAATAATGCGGCGTCGCGATCATCTGTCGGAGGTGAGAGTGATAAGGCTTTGCGTGCGGAAGTGATGGCGTTCTCGATGATTTGGCGATTGTGTGTACGGGCGAGGCGAGCGAACAGGGCAGATGAGAGTACAGTTAGAAGTGCAACTCGATTTTTGCCAGCGGTAGGTACATAAGAAAGGGTCCCAGGCGCCGTGCCAACGGTCTCGTCGTCCTCATCAGGAGGTGGAATATTAAAAATGAGATGGCGGAGAGCTCTGAGGCCAGGCCATTGTGGAAGGTGTCGGCCCACTAGTAGGAAGTTCTGGAGATCTTCCCACCACATGATCGCTCGTCGTAGAGAGCTAGTTGCACCTGGTCAGTACGTCTGTCGGTATTGAATGCTCGAGCAACCACAGCACCAGACAATAGTAACCTTGCTGTTCCGAAGCTTGAGCTCTGAGCCAACTGTGGAGATAAGAAGAGTCAGTCCCCGGATATGTACTATACGTTGCATATTGCCGCACTGGACAGACTATCAAACACCAAAGAGATCCTAGATGGTCAAGGACATGAGAAGCAGCCGGCAAAAGGGAACGCGCAGAACGACTTGCAGGCGAGGCTACACTAGTATGTCTGATTGGAGGAGGTGAATTGGGCTTGTGTCAACTTGTGTCTTATCAAGGTGATTAGTAAGGACGTCCCGCTCGTCAGAGATACGTTATGCACGGGGTAATATGTCGGTTATGTGAAGACGAGGACAGGCAGACTTACTTCGCAGGCTGCTTCGAGTCTGGAGTACAACGCAGGTGAGTAGATGAGAGCAGAGGATGAGATGCTGAGAGCAGACCGTCCAGTGCGCACTGCCACGGAGTTCCTCATGTCTTCCCTGCCAGCGGCAGATGGACTTGCGCATACCCTGCATATAAACCTTGTATTCAGGCTTGGGAGAAGCGCTGCCGCTGGCGAAGACTCAACTGGGAACATACAAATGTTATACTATTGTTGAGCTGTACCGTACCAATGATATCAACATATCACCGAATATGTCACCAGAGGCAGGAGGCATCCTGATCAGAAGTGAATGTTGAGTTGAGCGAGGAGACGCCGTCCCGATGATCCACGAAAGCGCATCGAGTAGTCATGCCATACTTAGAAATTTGATGCGCAGCTTTCTCCGAGCTTCGGCGCTTCAGCGCTCGCTCGAGATGCGATTCCCCCGCGGAGGGGAAGAGCGATAAGGTAAGCGAGACATTCGGCAAGTGGATCAATTGTGTAGCAACAGGCGGTAGCGAAAACAGTTCGCCTTTAATCAGACAGGGTAGCCCCGTCATGGACAGGTAGGCAGCTCTGGGCCTTCGACAGGGTAGACGAGTCGCGGATGTCAAGTATCCGCAACTCAAGACTCCGAGTCGCCGTCCCTTTCTCCCACTCCAGTGTCCTGAGGCTTATAAGGAAATCGGAAACATGTTTCCCGAGAGAAATCATGGCCAACAACGGGCCTCTGCCGGTGGGCGTACGGGACAAGATACCGCTCGCCCGAGCCTCGCGCCCCCGACGGCAAGCAGGAGAATTACTGGCCTGACTGTACGTCAGTTTCTTCGGCCATGACCATAGCGAGACTGGTCATGCCGCAGTGGTGTAATGAGCACCCTTCGGCCTTGTACATGTGAAGTCCTCAGGATCGGCCCCGGGCATGCCAATTTAAGTAACGCCGAGGTCCAATGGCACTTTATCCGGTACTAGTCGCTAAAGCCCATCCGTCCGGGCCAATGCTGACGATGCAATGAACTCGAGGAGTATAAAAGAGTCTACGGTGCAGGCAAGTGGTCATCATCAGCATCTCGCATTACAACAATGTCTCCCACCGCTAACAAGAAAATCGTCCTAGTTATCGGCGCCACTGGTGCCCAGGGCATCGCTGTCATAGAGGCGCTCCTCGCCGCATCCGCAGATGATTCGCCATCCCCCTATGCCGTCCGTGCCTTGACTCGCGATCCCAACGGCCGTCGCGCTAAAGAGCTTGAGGCCAAGGGCGTGGACATCTTCAAAGGTATGACAATCACTGTCCGTTGTGAATGGCAGGCTGACAGTGTCACCCAGGATCTGTGGAAGACTTGTCCTCTGTCTTCGCTGCCCTACAAGGTGCATGGGGTGCGTTTGTGAACACAGACTCGTTCACCATCGGCGAGCAAAAGGAGATTTTCCTTGGAATGCGCATCTTCGAGCTCGCAAAGCAGGCGAAGACCGTCCGCCACTACATCTGGAGCAGTCTTGATTATGTCGGCAAGGTACTTCACTCCCTTTCGTCTCTAAGGTATGACGTCCCTGACATTATCGTTGTAGAACTCGGGATACAATCCGAAGTACAGAGCAGAGCACTTCGACGGCAAAGGTCGTGTCGCAGACTGGCTGAAAGCGCAGCCTTCTGTCGTCAATGACAGCGACATGGCTTGGAGCTGTATCTCGACTGGCCCTTACATGGACATGTTGAAGCTAGTGCGCATTTTTGCCACGAAATGTTTGTACAGCGTTGACGGGATGGTTTACAGCCCATGCTCGGCCCTCTCTTCCGCCGTGCGGACGGAACGTTTGTCTTCGCGTTCCCTACCGACTTAGGTCACGTCCCCATGGTATCTCTCAAAGATATCGGCTTCTTTGCTCGCTACTCCTTCGACAACCGTGCTGAAGTCTCAGGCAAGGATCTCGAAATTGCGAGCGAGATGGCCACGCTCGACAATACCGTCGGGACTTTCAAGAAGGTCACCGGGCTGCCGGCCGTCGCAGTGCACCTCACTGTCGAAGAATGGTTCCGCAACTGGAAAAACACCGATTGGCCTCTCGCGAGGGAGCGCAAGTACGGCGACGGGTCAACGACCTGGAAGGAGAACTTTACGGCGTTCTGGAACTTGTTCCGGGACGATATCATTAAGCGGGACATGACTTGGATTCGTAAGGTCAATCCCGACGGACAGAACCTAGAAAAGTGGATGCGAGAGACTAAATACAAGGGGGAGCTAGAGCTGTCCTTGCTGAAGTCCTGGGAGGACGGGAGCCGCGTTAGTCTTGACTTGGAGCACATTACCGCAACTCTAGGAAAGGCGTAGGTACTGTACGGTTAAACTAGCAGGTTACACAGGTGTTAGTATTCGTAATAATAGCATTCACGCTGCAGAAGTTGGACATTGCGCCGGCACCAGATGGCAATGAGTGGACGATCAAATTTTTGTTCCAAACATGAGCGGAGAAGGATGACTGGAGATTTATTCATCTGCAGTGTGTATGCCAATGTACGACAAACGTCTGGAAATATATTTTCGCCAGCTTTTTTATCCACCGGCATCCGGTGGGATCTACCCAACTAGCAAGGAGTGCAAGCCAGTGGGCGGCGAAGGTTCCATGGCGGCAGGCATGTCTACGTTAAAATTTAACGCAAAGCTGTGGTAGCCGTTCCGCGCTGGCATCTCAGCTCGGACGCTGATAAATGGGCCAGTAAAAATTGATTAGAGGCAGTCATGAGGTGACCGACGCGATACACGGCAGGCGTTGATACATTACACTGTATACACAGGTTTTACGTCTATCATACAGCAGAGTCGGGGGTCAAGTTCAGCTCGATTGACGTCACCTTCTCGTCAGCACCGTCCATCGATTCGGTCAACTCAGCTCGAGGTAGTGGGCCAATGTCAACCATCTCATGGGTCTCAATGGTGATGTTGACCTAATGCCAAGTCAGTTCAGACAGTCCGGCAGAGAGAGCACCAACATACCTGGGGTCTCATCTCTTTGCCATCTGCATACACGGGGCTGCGATGAGAAATCGAATATCCTTCGATGTCCTGCCTCGAGTTTAGGCTAGATATAACCGAATTTGTGTACCTGCGATACGTAGTTAGGACACAAGACACTCCAAAGACGAGATCGGAGACATACAACTTCACGACCCCGTAGTTGAATATCATGTGTACGCCGGATTGCTATATCCCTTGCCTTCAAAAAAGCGTCACAAGGCCATCGGGAGTGACTCACAGAAGCCAAATACGAGATCATGTGAGACGTGGTGAAAGACGCTGTCAACAAGCCATTCGAGATGGTGGCTGAATCGAGTCGTGAGTATTGGAGCGACTACATGAGCGCGGTGGCGACACACCAAGTATAACCCTCTTGATTAGAGCATCAGTACGCTCGAAACCGGTCCGCCGCTTGCTCTGTATTGCTTTGATTAGTTTGCTCGAACTCGGATGCGTAGAAAAACAAACTAGGGACACGCTTAGAGTGGTCGCAATCGTGACATCGCAAATTGTGCCGGAGATGAGCCAGGGCAGCGCGATGACCTGCATAGACGATTTCACCATCGGTACAAACGAAGGAAAAGGTCTTCAGTATTCACTTTGAGTGACTGGAGACTAGTAAACTCTGGACGCATTCCGACAGCTATAGCGGTGCCAGTGGCGCAAACTGCGATATTGATTATGACATGTCAGAGAGAAGTTAAGGGCGATAGACATACTTCCGGTGAGGCAAGACGTGGTGGCAATAAGGGCGGTGACCCATCTATTCTTCGTGAGAATGAAGATGCGCCGGGCGTAGAACATTTGACACATCATGGCAACCAGGCCCTGTCGTTTGGATTAAGATTCAGTGGTGGATAGATGAGAAGGTGGGAGTCTCACAGCCATGGCGTGTTCTAAGTTGCGATGACGATATGAGAGGCGTATTTAATTTATGTACTGGAAGTTCATCCATACCTGAGGCATTGACTGGAAAGCGCGAAGATCGATGAGGCAACCTCGTCAGGCAAGTAATATTGGAAGCACATACGCCAATCAGCCCGCGTGAGGGCCTCCATATTGCCTATAGTATACCTGAGAGAAGTACTTCCAGACGTGCGCGGGATGACCTACCGAAATTATTAACTAATACCTTATATATCCATGTAATGTTGAAGGAAGTGTTCAGCGTGTCCGCTAAGAGTAAAACAGCAACCTAAAGACCAACGAACCAGTTACCTATGAAGTATGCATAAGGAGAAACGAGGATAGGCTTCTCACGTATATCTTGATCTGCCATGGATCCCTGCAATCCAGGTCAGCATCTACCAGAAGAGAAGCCCGATATGAGGAATAAACGAGCGTACTTGCGGAAATTAGCATAGTACATCTGCGCCTGCACTATGACAGCACCATACAGCCTGATAGAGCGCAAGTCAAGAGAATCACAACGTCAGAACGATGAAAAGTCGTACAACGTGTTCAGGAAGATCCCCAGAAGACACGGGCCTTGACTGTGTTGATGAGCTCTGGTGACCAGCCACGCAAAAGAGCGCACGACCTACACGAAACGAGCTGCCTTCTCTTCTGCGGTGTACATGGTACCAACAAGGACAGGATGGATATCATACCCGAGCAAGGCGTACTTAAGTACGAGATCTCTCGCATCAATCAATGAGCCTGCACATGCTCTCCCTGGATGGCAAGGGGAGGGCATCTGTGCCGGCCAAACTCTATACCTGCTTGCACAATTTTTTTCTCAACATCGAAGACAGGCTGTGTTGTTCCGGTGGTCCATTATCCTAGTTAGCAATTATGGTCGGCTAAAACAAGGGCTTGCCATAGTTGCTCGTATGGACGCTGTCGATGGTCGCCGCACGAGGGCTCGGGCTCCATTCAACGAAGTGTGTTGGGCGGTGTTCACGAACAATAGGGGCAACATTTCATGATTTCGGTGAGAGCAGCTACATGGCTTATCAGGTCTCTCTCCACCAATGCTGTGTATTTCGTGAGTGAAAGATTCCTATGAAGGATATGTGTGATGCTGACCGGGTTAGAAGCCGACCAACGAGATATCAATCACATACCAGTGCGGCTGCAAGGTTCGACTTCGAGGGAAAGTATCTGTAGGGGTCCCGACGTCCTGTGGTGCCGCCGTTGGGAAAGCGTGGCTGCTCAATCAGGACTTGTGGAGTACTGTACACCGCCAACTTGCACTCGGAGAGCAGACAGACGGGCGCTTCGGGGGTGAGCCACATGTGCATGCGGGTGCATCGCAGACGTCAGACATTCATGGTGCAGGTGTCTCATTTGTCTGCGTTCCGTATGTTTAGTACATGTGTTACATATTCAACACACATGCAATGCAAATGAGTTTTCGGGAGCGGGAGGGCTGCGGCAGGCGTTTATTATGGGCCCTCTCTTTCGTGGAATTCATCGGTGTTTCGCAACTGTCGGCTATCTTTCCCATATATTTTGAGGCTTCGCAAAGTGAGCTTGTGCAGGGGTTGACAATTATCATTTTCCAGAAGCTTTATCTATCTAATAGGTCTAAATAAGTCGTTTGCGTTTGCGGGGGTGCTCAGACTCAGACTCTTCGGCTGCACTCTCAGCCTCGCCGGAACGTTCGAAGCTGTCCTCGGGAGCGTCCGATGACTCTGCTTCACTGCCGCAAGCCTCAGCTACTTGTTTTGTACGTGCTTCGCTTTGTGCTCCTCTCCGTGATGGTCCACTTGTCTTTGTTTTCTTCTGCCTCTTCTCCTTCGCTGCTTCTCTCTTGGTGTTATTTGTCTGACGGAGCCGCCGCGCTTGCTCGAGATGTTTGGCAGAGCGATTCGGAAAT